CCTCCTCCCCGGCCCCTCCGCCCCGCCTCCCCCCCGCGCCTCCGCCCGTCCCTCCCTCTCGAAACCCCCCAAATCCCGCCTCCTTAGGCCCCGCCCTCAAAAAAGCCCCTCCCCGGGCCCGCCCCACTAGAGGCCCCGCCCTCCCGAGTCCCGGAAGTTTGCTCTCCACGCTGGCAGCTTGTCTGGAGGGCCCAGGAGGTTGGTGGGCCCTCACTCACCTTGGGGTCTTCTGGAGGCTGTGGCTTTAACAGGAATTGAAAAGTACTAGAATGGTAGTGATGAACTATAGATTCACTTACGGCCATCTTTTACATTTACCTATTTGTTTAGAGACAGTGACTCACATAGCTCAGACTTAACTTGTTTAGTTGCTAAGGATGGCCATGAACTTTCTGGTCTTCCCGGCTCCACCTTCCAAGGGCACGGAGGTTTGGTTTTATGAGGTGGTTGGAATCAAACCCAGGGCTTCTTGCAATTGAGCTACACCCCTAGCCCATCCGATTTTATTTGCTTGTTTGTTCGTTTGCTTTATATTGCTTTAAATTTCCGTCTTTCTCCTCCAAGGAAATCCATCCCCAGGAACATTACGGAAAGGAGACCCATGTAAACTGCTGCTACGAGGAAGCCTCCCTGGTTTTCAGGTTCCCAGTGACATATTCCTCTGACATCTTATTTAGAAGTTGGCATGATGGTTCAGAGGTATGGAACTCTTGCTGCTCGTCGGCATCAGCCCCTTAGACCTGGTGCTTTACAGAACACAGTGTAACTACAGAAACAAGCCAGGGAGCTTGGCTGAGTTGTTCAAAGTAGCACATAGTCTAACAAGTTGGAGCCTTCGGCAGCTGTGTTCTGTGGACGGGGCTACTCCAGATGGTGACGTGGCAACCTTGATGAGCCCCTGGTCCCCACGCTAAGGCCTTGTTTGTCCCAGTCGGGTTCCTTCCTCTCCTTTCCTTCCAGCTCTGTTCCCAAACCACTTCTGTGTTTCTCCTTCCCTCAATGTCCTCTTGACAGCTCTCAGCTTCAGTTTGTTCTGCAACTAAGACATAGTTGAGATTGTGCTTAAAAAAGAATGTAAGCCTCTAGTCTGTAAAGTTACCCTTTCTGTACAAATGCGTGTCCATTTATCCTCTGGTTACAAACCAACCTAAGGAGTCCCTGTGTGGGACACACTGGCTGGTGCAAGTGAGGCTCTAAAGAAATGAGAAATGGGTTGTTTACCCAGTGCGATGCTAGAGCTACAGGGACATTTGGGTTCGGCAGAGGCCTGTCCAGAGGTGCTCTTAATCTCCGTGAAGTTCCACTTCTGGGAAGGTGCAGACATCCCATGACTTTGGTCACCAGATGCCTCAGGATCATCTTGTATTTTAATTTACTGTGTAAATTAAATTAGGAACCTTGGTATGAGGAAATACTTCGTGTAACTTTCAATAAAGACACCTTTGTATGGCTCTTCAGGGACTCAATTCATCAGAAGAGGCTGGACCTTCCTGCTACCACATAGGCCCGAAAATTTCATCTTGGAGTGCCTTCTTTCTTTAACAGACCCGCACTGCACGGTGCACCCCAACAGGAAGGCTTTTTTTCTAAAGTAAGAGGGCTGCGGGGACCACCAGTTCCTAGAACAGTTTAAAAATCCACGTTTCCTTCCATCCTCCTTTGCATCTTTGTTCTGGGAAATGAGAAGCAGGCCAATGTGTTGCTACTTCAGAAAGAACTGCTTGGAAGGCTATGGGTTTCCAAGTACCCATGCAATTCCGTTCAGTGAGTTCCCAGGAATAATGGGGCCTCTTTTTTTCCCTAAGATTTATTTGATTTTTAAATGTATGTGTATGTGTGAAGACATGCATGCTGGTACCTGTGAGGCTGGAAGGGAAAACTGTAGTCCCTAACTAGAGTCACAGGTGATTTTGAGCTACCTTATTCGTGTTCTGGGTCCCCTAAGAGCAGCAAGTGCGCTCTGTTAACTGCTGGACCGTCTGTCTCCCTCTCCTCTTGAAGATAGTTTGTCACAGACACGGACCACTGCTCTCGCAGAACAGCAGAATGTATTTCTGAGCTGAATTCCATGAGCAAACACAGTCACACACTGGCCTGCCTGCTCAAGGTGGTGGCTGGCTACCTTGGGATTGTGCAAGATGGCACTGTGGCTGACCTGTAATGGAAGCAAGTCTGACGCAGGTGGAAGGACAGACAGATTGACCACGTGAATCAAGCTTCTCTCAGAGCACCAGAATTTCACAATGTGCAGGTTAATGACATCACAGGGGGGGAAATAACAAAGTGTAACTGGCGTTGCTAACAAGTCACAAACACGGAACGTCCCGGATTCAAATGTGTACTTGGTCGGTGAGGAAAAAGAAAATAATGCTTCAGTTGCACGGTTTCAATGCCCACTACATGGGACTTGGGCCGAGAACTCCCTCAAGTCTTGTTTGGAGTCAGTACAACCAATATTTGAAGTTGGAAAAAGCAAACATAGGTTTGGATTTCTGTGAAGCTGTATGAAATGACAGGGGAAATTTGCATCAGTGAAATACTTGTTAGAACAGTGTTTGAAAGGAGGCAATTTCTTTCACGTATCTTTGGAACCTTTTATAGTATTGCAAAAATGAAGGAAGGCCAGGAGGTGGTGGCGCACGCCTTTAATCCCAGCACTTGGGAGGCAGACACAGGTGATCTCTGTGATTTCGAGTTCCAGAACAGGCTCCAAAACTACAGAGAAACCCTGTCTTGGGGGGGAAAAAAAAGAAAGGGAAGAAAGTCAGATCACATATATATTTTATGAGCTTTAAACTTACACATTTTTAAGGATAAAAATAATGGCAACATAATTACCGATGATGCTCACAACTGCTCACCGTTTTGTGAGTCATCAATAATAGGAAACATGCCATAACTGAAACAAATTCCTCTCCTCATATATTTTAGGAAAAACTTGGCAACAGGTAGCATAATCCCCAAGCTACGATACAATCATTTCGTCTATGTAAAGCTATCTAGAAGTAGGAAGGGCTGGGGTTGGCTAACAGCTCTGCCAGGTCTGGGTCAGATTTTCCATGGACTGCCCTCTCCATGGCAGATTTTCCACAACCAGGACTGCCTAGTGACTGTGAGAGAGCGGGCACAGCTCTGTGTGTAGTGGCCTTACATGCTTTGTCCAAGTCAGGAGGAAGCATTCTCACGCATCTTCTTGTCCGAGGAAAACATCTCTCCTCCCTGACAGTTTTCAGTCAGGCCTCACCTTGTGGTCCACTGGCCCAGAACTGGCTTTCATTCCCTCTCTCAACAATAATAATGGTAACAATAGTAACAAATGGTGGACAGACTAGAATTACCCATAATTCATGTAGCACAGGGTCCAGGAAACTCCTGAAAAGGACCAGCTAGCAAACACTGGAGACTTTCCAGGACACGCTGTCTCTACCATGTGCGTTCAGCTTTACCACTGTAGAACCATGGGCACTGCAGATAGTTAAGTGAAACTGTTTTCCAACAAGACTTCATTTTTCTTTGCACATGGAAATTTCATCTCATATTAGTGAGAATGCTTCTTTAGTTTGCTGTGATGAAACCATGACCAAAAGCAATTCGATTGCTCTTACAGATTAGAGTCCATGTCTAAGTCTGTAAAAAACTGACAAAAGCAATGACAGCATCTAATTTTAACTTCTCACACTATATCATTCTTGCGTTTTTCAACTCTTTGAAGTCAAGTTTTTTAAAGCATTTGGAACAGTTGGAGGAGTAGGCTTGTCAACTAGGTTCAGTATGAGTGCTTTGCTCCCTTAGAGCTGTAGGAGGGGCCCACATTCTCTGAGATTAAAACACCCCTGCTTGAAAAGAGGAGAAAGCAGTGGATCCCCAAATTTTCTAGCGGCAATCTTCTTCACTCAAAAATTTTTATGTGACCTCAGGTATTTAGGGAGCTAAAATAGATGTACAAATCAAACATTCACTTATAATAAACCCTAAAGTTGCTTTAAAACAATTCTTTGGTATACATATCTTGTTTGTTTATTTGTTTGTTCGAGACAGGGTTTCTCTGTGTAACAGCCCTAGCTGGTCTGGGAGTCGCTCTGTAAACCAGGCTCGCCGTGAACTCACAACGATCCACCTGCCTCTGCCTCAGAATAAAAGGAAAGTGTCCCCACCTCTGGCAAGTTCCCACATCTTTGCCAAGTCATTGAAATAGCCTTTGGTAGAGAGAGCCACACTCCCAGGGCGTTCACATAGCAATTCCACATGGGGAAGAAGTTGCAGAGGCTGGAACTGAACTGTGTCGCGATAACGTGTCCCGTGGGCACTTTCTGAGAGTCTTCTGAATGTGACAGCAGCGTGGCCCTGAGTCCTGCTTGAATCCCATTTCACAGGCAGGGTTCTGAACTGTGTAAGAGCAAGAAGAAAAAAAGCTAGCTGAACAATAAGCAGAAGCAAGCAAGCGGCGTGGCTGCATTTGTTTTTCTGTTCTGCTGACCACAGATGTAGTCTGAGCAGCTGTCGTAAATCTCCTGCCTCTGTGACTTGCCCACATGATGGACTATAACCTGTGGTTTGAAGCCAAATAAACCCTCTTTTCCCCTAAGCTGCTTTTTGCCATGGTATTTGTCTTAGTTTTATTCTGTGATGTGATAAAATATTGTTTCAGTTTAAGAGGCTCACTATCTCTGAGGTTTCAGTTTATGGTGCTTTAGCTGTGTCCTTTTGGGGCCGTATGGTGCGACAGCCCCCATAACGGGGTAGGTTGTAGAGCAAAGTAAAGCGCCTCACCTCATGGTGGCCAGAAAGCAATGATATCTCAGGAATTAAGAACATTTATGATACCTGCAGAGGACCTGAGCTTGATTTCCAGAATCCCTGTGGTGGCTCACAACAATCTGTAACTTCAGTTCCGGAGGAACCAGTGCCCTCTTCTGGAATCTGCGGGCACCAGGAATGCATGTGTTATGCACAGACATGCATGCAAGCAAAATACATACATGCCTATACCTATATATGTGTGTGTGTGTATGTATACGTGTGTATGTATGTATATATGTGTGTGTGTATACATACATACATACATATATATGTATAAATATGTATACACACACACACACACACACACACACACACACTCCAATGGACCTAACTTCCTCTCCCTTAGACCTACCTCCCAAATGGTCCACCATGTCCCCAATATACAATCATCTTAGACAAACAAAACCTTCAACACATATGCCTAGGGAAGATATTTGGGATTCAAATCACAGCCAATATTGTAAGATACGGTATAGTGCGAGAGGGACCTTTGTGGCATCCCATAGCGGGTCGGGCCCAAATCATGGCGGAACAGAACACACCATGCAGAGAGAGCTTGAGTGTGGAGTTTGAAATAAAGGGAATGGGGGAGCGAGGGAAGGAAAGGGAAAGGGGAGGAGAGGACTGGAGAGGGAGGCAGAAACCTGCTTGCCTGGTGGCGGGGAGAGGGAGGGAGGGAGGGAGAGAAAGAGGAGAAGGATCAGGAGTGGGCAAAGTTTGTCTCTTAAAAGGACCTTTACACTGTGTACAGTGGGACTGCTTGCCTTAAGCCAATGGATGACTATGCCCAAGAGGCAGGGCCAAGGTGTGCCTGGATACTATTAAATATGGTAGCACATCCTTGTAATCCCAGGGAGCCAATACAGGAAAATCTTAGCCAGCTTCAACTACAAAGTGAGACTCTACGACAAAAAGTGACACAAAACAAAACCCTCTTGAAGGTAGCATCCCAGGAGGGTGTGAATTGAGGGTGCATAAGCCCTGCGTCAGAGGAACCCCACAACAGGGTGTGTTTTCCAAGGAATACGGGCCCCTTTTCGGGGGAGTGGTCTTAATTAAACTCAACAGAAGTTAACTCTCTTTGCTGAGGTATAATAGGCAGTTGATTAAAGGGATAGTTTGACTTTTCTATGGCTGTCTGGAGAGTCGGGGCTCCATGAACAGCTTCCTTGCACAGGACCCTCCCTGTGCCACCACAGAGCTGGTCTCTGGAAGCCCTGCAGAAGCTCCGTGGAGCTCTGTTGGTCTGCACCACTGCCCCTCTGCGTGTCTGTTCTTCCAAAGCTGGGCTGATCCTCACCAGGCTTGCGTGAAGAATCATCCCATCCCCTGTCCCAGCCTGCTTTTGCTCATTTCCAAATGACAGGTCTCGAGCGGCAGCTAATGGATGCCATGGCCCTGGTCTCTAGCCTTCACCATGTCTACAGAGGAGCAAGCCAGGTGGGGTTCTGCTTACTGCCCTGAAAGGCAGGAGTCACTTTAACGTTAAGATTGTTCCCCCAAACAGACAAGGAGTTCCAACCATGCTAACCATGCATAGCTAAACCACACTAAACTATAGGCAAACTCTAGAGTGGTAAAGGAAATGGACAAGGAAAAAGGCAGGGATCTGGGACATACCAGGTACCTCTGTAGGTTCCCTAGAGCGTGGCTTGTCTGAAGGCCACAGCAGGGAGCGTGGGATCTCGGATCACATCACTGAGCAGGGGCCGCCTGTCCCTACTCCACGTCCTTGTACAGCTCAGGCGCTGCGGTGTGTCCCTTGGCCTTAGTACACTTTCATCTCTTCTGTCATAAGGAATCGTGGCAATCAGTTTGATAGATGACATCATTGTAGGCTACCAGGATTTACAGAGCTCTCTCTGGCTCCATCTGAGTCCCTCTCCACCTCCATGACCTCTCATCTTGATTTATAGCTGGGGATATCTTCATTGGATTATTCTTTAGTGGCTGTGTCCAATCGAGACCTATAGGCTACATGCATCCCAGGAGAGCTATGCACGTGACCCCAAATTTGTAGGTGAAAGCATCATGTCACAGTGGCAAAAGGCTGGATGCCCCCCTACAAGTCCCCTTGCTTAGAAAACAAAAAGCACTCAGTTGCAATTCATTGAGCCACATCCACACCCTATGATGATGCTTTTACTTACATCTAACATCAAGACTCTTTTGAATCGGTTAATTAGTGCTGTGTGAGAAGGAGAGTGAATCAGACTGAACTGATGATGGCACACACCTGTCCTCGGAGTACAGGGGATGATGAGGCAGAAGGGTTGTATGCACTACGAAGTTAGTCATTAAAAATAAGTTTTATAAATAAATTTATAAGTTCTCAAAAAGGGAATATTCATAAAGCAAAATTAGAAGATGAGAAAGTTTCCTTATAGTTGGTCCTATTGTATTAGAAATGGTTGTGAGACTATCATAGGACTCTGTTGTCTTCCTTGGGTTTCCCTAGCCATCATTATTTTTTATCAGTTTGTCTATTTGTTTGTTTATTTTTTATTTATTTATTTTGGTTTTTGGAGACAGAGTCTCTCTGTGTAGCTTTGGAGCCTGTCCTGGAACTTGTTCTGTAGACCAGGCTGGCCTCGAACTCACAGAGATCTGCCTGTCTCTGCCTCCCAAGTGCTGGGATCAAAGGTGTGCGCCACCATCTCCCAGCACATTTTTTTTTGTTTGTTTGTTTAATAGAAAAATTTGTAGGAGTCTGTTGATTGTATTTGCCAATTCTCTCTCTAGAGGACCCAAAGTGATTATATATGGGATTTATTAGAGTGGATTACATGCTGTGGTCTGGCCAGCAACAGAGAGGGCAGGGATCTGGTTGTTGTTCAGTTCACAAGGCTGGGTATCTCAGCAGTCCCAGTCTGGTGCTGGAGTCCCAGGGAAGTCCCAGAAAGCTTCTGGTCTTTATATACAATAGAAATCTGGAGAAGTGGGCTGTGCACCTAGATGTGTTGTTTGCATACGCCTATGCATTGCATGCAATGCCTGCAGTTTCCATGAATGCCAGAAGAGGACACTGGACACCCCTGAGCTGCAGTTACAAATGGTTGTGGGTTAGAATCAAACCTGGGTTCTCTGGAAGAGCAGCCAGTGCTGTTAACCACTGAGCCATCTCTCCAGCCCCCTGAAAACCTATTTTGAACTGTTATCTGTCTCCTTGCTGTCTACGCTACCTTTATATTTTCTGCAGCACTCAACAGGCTATTTGTGCCTTCATCTCCTCAGTTGTCTATTGCTGGCATCAGCACTCCACTGCTAGCGCAACTGCGGTTGGAAACCAGCGAGAGCGAGGACCTTCTGCTTTTAACTGACGTTTCTCTACTTTCGGGCAGCTCTCAGCCATGTGTAGCTGCTTGATTTCCATACTATGGAATGAACTTTCAAGTTCAGACTCTTTCTTGCACTAGTCACATTTCAAGGGCTCAGTAGCAGCTTGTGGATTGTGGTTTGTGGCTTGTGGGCAGGACACGCAGGACAACGTCGTCATCTCCATAAATTCTCGAAGCATCCCTGATCTAGGTCAGCAGCTGGAACACTGCGGCATTCAGGAAACCACGGCAGAAGCGGGCTTCCCGTTGGCTTTGCTCACAGGACGTGGTCGCACCAGGTACACACAGTCCTTCTTACCACCACTGTGGAGAAGTAACCCCATTTCTCTTTGGTAATCCGCATCGATCACCCCCTCCTAACGCTGTTCTTCCTTAGCCTGTTGGCTTAAGGCAGCAGTTTCTCAACCTGTGGGTTATGACCCCTTTGGAGTTGCATGTCAGATGTTTACACTATGATTCAGAATTGCTGTTAATCCCAATGCTGAGAATAAGACCACTACCACAATTTGAGCAAAATTTGAAGCAAGTTTGATTTTTATTGGGGTGCACCCAAGAGCTGGTCAGCGACTGCCTCCTAAGTCGGGTTACAGAGAGCAGCCCTGAATCTACCTCTTGGGCCCCTTTTGAGGAGTAAAATCACGAGTAGTTCTACAGAAGGGAGACACTGGGGGCAATACGGAAATACAATAAACAACAACAAACACAAAATAAAACAAAGCAAAGACTTTTTAAAAAATGTGGTTAGGAGGGGAGCAGGGAGGGTCAGGGTCAGGCTTTTTTTTTTTTTCCTTAAAAAATCAAGGTCATGGGTTGGAGAAGATCAAGTTCCAGAAAACTCAACTCTCACAGTAAATTAAAACTTACTTTTAAAAACACAGCATAATGGTTCCTGCCTTTAAAATGGAGTCAGACAGGTCCCTCACTTGCAAATTTACAGTTATAAAATGGTAATGAAATACTTTTATGGTTGGAGGGTCACCAAAGCATGAGGAACTGTACATTAAAGGGTTCCAGCTTTAGGAAGGTTGAGAACCATTGGCTTAAGGGCATCAGAAGCCCTAAGTGGCTAGGGGGAAGTCTGAGATTCCAATTTAATGGGATGTATGTTGAAACATTTAATATTCCCAAAGTTGAAATTTTAATAGGTTTTAAGATGTTTAATAGTACTCAAATTCATAAGCAGTATGTATTCTTCAAGCCTTAATATATGATTACAATATTTAAATTTGAATCTACATGTGCATT